GGTGGGCGTCTGGGGAGGGCGGGTACGAGCGTGGTACCGACCCGCGAGCCCGGAGGAGCGGGGAGAGGCCGCAGGCCGACCGGGGGGCTCACGTTTGCTTTGGGGCGTGTGGGGTTTGCCGTGGCGGAGAAGCCCCGTGTCGTCGGTGACACCCGAGCCCTTCAGTTGGCCGCAGTCGCGGCGCTTACGTGTTTTCACGCGTTTTTACAGAATCCTTTGATTTTAGTCTTGAAAAGGTTGTTCTAACGCTCGTCTCCTGGGAGGAGGGAGCTGTTCACCTTTCATCTCCCTCTGCTTGCTAGTGAGGGCACCCAGAGCTGGCGGTCGGCATCGCTCCTGCCTTTTCTGGGGCTTGTTCAGCAAGATTAGGAAAAGCTGTTGTAAAGTTGTTTGTTTTTTTTTTAAAGCAAAAAAAACAGAGCCTTAAAACTTAAGTCGAAGCAGATACTAAAGAAAGATAAAACCATGTAGTCTAATTTAAGGAAATTATTTAAAGTGGCATTTTTCTTTTGATATTTGCATTTGGGTCATAAACTTATTGTCTAAGATCGACACCTCACATACAATTTCAGGGTCTCTTCATGATGCACATACCAACTTTCTCTAGCAGTGCAGTGCTTTCTTGCACAGTCAAGCAGTTTGTTGCCTCCTTTTTAGCCAAAACACACTTAAAATTCTGCCTTTACCTTCCAGACCACGAAGAGCAAGCCCGCAGAAGAGAGCGATGCTCCTCCACCCAAGAGAGCCCCCATATTTTATGGCAGTTTGGAAGAGAAGGAAAGGGAGCGTCTGGCAAAAGGAGAATCGGGGATGCTGGGAAAAGAAGGGATGAAAGCTGCAATCGAGGCTGGCAACATCAACATAAGCAGTGGTGAGAATCTTTAACCACCTTTTTTTTTCCCCTCTCACTCTGAAATGTGACACTTTTAAAAGTCTCTGATCAACTTTGAGTGTAATTTAAAAAGAAAAAACATGAGACCTTTGCCTGGACTGTTGTCTCTTTGTTTGGATCTTCCTCTTTGAGAGAGATCTCTTGTCCAACTGTTGTTTTCAATCTCGTGGTTTCTTTTCATGTCCAGGTGAGGTCTTTGATCTTGAAGACCACATGAGCGAGCGGCAAGCAGAAGTGCTGGCTGAGTTTGAGCGCAGGAAGAGAGCCCGGCAGATCAACGTGTCCACTGATGACTCCGAAGTGAAAGCCTGTTTGCGAGCACTTGGGGAGCCCATCACGCTCTTTGGAGAAGGTCCTGCAGAAAGGAGGGAGAGGTGCTGTGTCTGCCCTGAGTTTTGCAACCAGGGAACACTCAGCTTTACCCAGTTTATCAAATTTCTGACATTTTCCTTGTAGTTGGGGTGCAGTGAGTGCCACTGGTCAGTAATGCTTCATTACAGTGCAGCAAGAATGTTAAGGAAGAAAGAATGGCAGACAGCGATTATTTGTCAGGTTAGCTGAGAATTCACTGAGTGAATATCACTTTATGTGTTTCTTTCCAGATTAAGAAATATCCTTTCCGTGGTTGGCACAGATGCGTTAAAAAAGACCAGGAAAGATGACGACAGGTCTAAAAAATCCAAAGAAGAGGTAAATGATCTCTCTTGTTCTCTCAGTGCTGAGGGAGACAGGTATGATACCCTTTGAGATGCCTTACTTTGATGGTCTCTACCATGTCCAGGACTCTTGGTTTTGTTCAGTCTGTGGATTCTCATGTCATCCTTTCACGCTTCTTCTGTGTTGCCCATTTTAGCGAAACTGTGGCAATGTTTTACCTAAATCAGGAGTCTTAAGTCTGGCTTGTATTTGCAGACCAAATTCCATGCTGCATCCAGCATATAAAAGAGGAGATCAGACGTTTGGACTGTTACTTAGTATAGCAGGTCCTTTATTGTGTTTGTCTTCATACTCAGGAAGAAAAACCTATGTGCTGGCTACTGCATCTGTTTCTGTCTTTGATTCTTCTTTCTTTCGGCTTCTCCTTTCTCTGAGTCCATTTTTTTCTTTAGTATTTTTGGGGGTTGCTGTAAGAAATAAGGACAATTTCTGCAGCTCTGGGCTTCCATTTTACTGGATGATGTGTAGGAGTATAATCATCAGCGGTACATGATTTGAGTGAAAATGAGTTAGCGTTCAGTGGCAATATTCTTGAGTGAAACAGCAGCATGTCAGGATCTGATCTGTAGGGCAGAGAGTTTGACTTGTCTCTCTCAATCCCTTTTTCTAGGGCTTATTGTTACACAAAATGCCCTTAAAATGAGGCCTTAACACAGCAAGATTTAAGAGCAAATGCTGTGGTGGCACTTGTGTACTACGAGAAGGTCATCTAAGGTAACTGAATGGAAGAGCAGCGTCACATTACCTTTTTCCTCAGTTTTGTTCTTTTTCTTACAGTATCAACAAACATGGTACCATGAAGGACCACGCAGTCTGAAAACAGCGAGGCTGTGGCTTGCGAATTACTCACTCCCCAGGTGAGATGAAATGACACAAATGAAGGAGAGAGATGCAACCTTTTGTTAAATCTAGACACTAATCCCGCTGCGGGTAGTGCGGGAATTTTGAGATAAAAGGCATGGGGAATATACACTGGTTGGTGAGTCCAGTGAGCTTAGAGCTTGAGTTCTCAGTGACTGAGTAGTGTTATCCCAGTTTGGGGGAAGAAGAGGGAAAGGCCCGTTTCCAGCAGCAGGGTAGGGAAATGTAGGGGCTTTGTTACTCCACCTTTGCTCTTCACAGGGCAGTGAAGCGGCTAGAAGAAGCCCGCCTGCTCAAAGAGATTCCAGAGGCAACCAGGACATCGCAGAGACAGGAGCTACACAAATCCCTGCGAGTAGGTTTGGCATCTGTTCAGCTGCTGTTTTTACAACTTTTTGCTGATCCTCCAAGGAGGACAGAAACAGATCAGCTGCCCGGAGGTGCTGTCCAGATGCATGTGCTTTTCTGCACTGTCATCTGTTGAAAAGCTCTGCTTTTTCTCTCTCTCCCTGTGGTATGTGTAAAGCATGTTCTAACTCTTTCTTTTCAGACAGTTGTACTTTAGCTGTCCCCTTGCATGGCAGAGGGGTGAAGAGACATGCCTGCATTGCCTTGCCACTTGCCTGAGAAGCTAAAGGAATCTATTCCTGGTTTTGTCACAGGTTTAGCTGGCTAGGAAGGGAATGCTCACTTTCCTCTTCCCGTACAACGGTCACTAGTACATGAAATCAAGAGAAATAATAACCAACACAGTAATGCAAAACATGTAGATGACTGAGACACCCTTTTTGAGCATATTAAGTCAGATTCCCAGCTTAACCCCGACAGAGAGGCTCAAGCACACAGTGTGCTGCCACTCTAATCCTGTTTACACTCAGAGGATTTGCTTGTCCCCTAAGCGCACCATGCTGCCTGCCCTAGTCTGTCTGGTTGCATTCATTGGATGCAGTTGTAGAAAGAGGCCAAACCTACAGTAAGTTCCCTGTTAAAACCATAGTTGTAAAGCAGGCCTGCGGGTTTATTGTGGTGAGTACTGTGGGTGGCACATTTAGAGCTAAGCTGTGCCCCAGGGCCGTGCTAGCTTACATTGGTCATCGGTCAGGCTGGCTTGGTAGCCCTCCTTCTCGGAGCTGGAGTGGCTCCAAGGCAGCTCCTCCTTTTGAAAGTGACTTTCCAAAGGCCTCTGCCTCCTCTGCATACATCTGCCACCTTCACCTCAGTCTTTGGCTGGAGCTTTCTTTAGGTTGTTTGTACTTTACTCATTGTTTTCATTGTATTTGGTTACAGTCCTTGAATAACTTCTGCAGTCAGATTGGAGACGATCGCCCACTGTCCTACTGCCACTTCAGCCCCAATTCCAAACTCCTTGCTACTGCCTGTTGGTAAGTTTTCTTTTACAGTGCTTGCTTTAGGGGCTGGGAGAGCACAGCAGGACTGAAGGAGAGTAATGTTATTGGAGACCTGTGAATTGTGAGAGTTCAGAAATGCTTTTTCATCCTACTCTGAACTCTCTTTTCACTTCATTTTAGAGCTTAGCAGAGATTTCAATCTGAGTCCATTAGTCCCTATGGCTGGTTGCACAAAGTGTACGAGTATTTTTAGCCACTGCAGAAAGCCCCAGTGTGGTTTTGCAGCTCTGTGTTTGATCTGTTCTTTGACATTCTGGTCTGCTCTGACGTCTATTTCTTGTCTTCAACAGGAGCGGATTGTGCAAGCTCTGGTCTGTGCCTGACTGCAACCTTGTTCACACCTTACGAGGTAGAGAACAACTTTCACTGAGACTCTTTGCTTAGTTCTTTTGTTCCTCTCTGGCTTGAGTTCCCATATCTGAATTACTCAAAATGTAGGGTTCTTTGGGCAGATTTTATTCTAATGGGAGCATCACTCAGGCCTGCGGAGCATGGGCACGTGTCAGTTAATCAAAAGGAAATTCTGGCCTTTCTCTAAGGGTTAAGACCCGAGTTTGCGGTTTCTGTTTCTGAACGGTGTTTTGTTTTGTTTCAAAACCTGGTTTGAGTTATTTTGAGCCAAATACCAGCATTTTTGGCCAGGCCACTTAGCAGCAGTGAGGTTCTTTTGAACAGTGGTCACAACTTGGACTAAATACAAATGTGAGGGCAGATCTCTTGATTCATATGTGGAATTTTCACTGCATTTTGAGGGTTACAAACTTGGCATTTGATAATCTTAAGTGGGTGCTGCTGAAGTGCAGTTTAGCTGTTTGCAGGACAGATGTGTTTGGTAGTTGCAGTGCAACTTCACTCAACATGGGAGGACACAGTGGAAGCGTTCACTGGTACCTGACTAATTAGTAACAAAGAAATGCTGCTTTTCTTAAGAATTGGCCAAGATTCCGTGGCAGATAATGAATTTTGATTTTTCCTTTCTCTTAAGGACATAACACCAATGTAGGAGCAATAGTCTTTCATCCCAAAGCCACTGTCTCCCTCGACAAGAAGGACGTTAACCTGGCCTCGTGTGCAGCTGATGGTTCTGTCAAACTCTGGAGCCTTGAAAGGTCAGAATGATACCAGACATGCACAGCTGCAGCATTGTTGTTTTGGGGTTTATTTTGTGTTACTAAACATTGGACATTTACCCCCCTCCTGCAAATATAACCTTTTCTTATAGTTATACC